ACAGTCACACACACACACAGTCACACACACACAGTCACACACACACACAGTCACACACACAGTCACACACACACACAGTCACACACACAGTCACACACACACAGTCACTCACACACACACACACTCACACACACACAGTCACACACACACAGTCACACACACACACACAGTCACACACACACACACACACAGTCACACACACACACAGTCACACACACACAGACACACACAGTCACACACACACACACACAGTCACACACACAGTCACACACACAGTCACACACACACAGTCACTCACACACACACACTCACACACACACACAGTCACACACACACACAGTCACTCACACACACACACAGTCACACACACACACACACAGTCACACACACACAGTCACACACAGTCACACACACAGTCACACACACACAGACACACACACAGTCACACAGTCACACAGTCACACACACAGTCACACACACACAGTCACACACACACACAGTCACACACACACAGTCACACACACAGACAGTCACACACACAGACAGTCACACACACAGTCACACACACACAGTCACTCACACACACACACTCACACACACACAGTCACACACACACACACAGTCACACACACACACAGTCACACACACACACACACAGTCACACACACACACAGTCACACACACACACAGTCACACACACAGTCACACACACAGTCACACACACACAGTCACTCACACACACACTCACACACACACAGTCACACACACACACACACAGTCACTCACACACACACTCACACACACACACAGTCACACACACACAGTCACACACACACACAGTCACACACAGTCACACACACAGTCACACACACACACACAGACACACACACACACAGTCACACACACAGTCACACAGTCACACACACAGTCACACACACACAGACACACACACACAGTCACACACACACACAGACACACACACACACAGTCACACACACACACAGACACACACACACACAGTCACACACACAGACACACACACACACAGACACACACACACACAGTCACACACACACACAGTCACACACACACACAGTCACACACAGTCACACACACAGTCACACACACAGACACACACACACACAGTCACACACACAGTCACACAGTCACACACACAGTCACACACACACACACAGTCACTCACACACACACAGTCACACACACACAGTCACACACACAAGTCACACACACAGTCACACACACAAGTCACACACACACACAGTCACACACACAGTCACACAGTCACACACACAGTCACACACACACACACAGGCACACACACACACAGTCACACACACACACAGTCACACACACACACAGTCACACACTCACAGTCGCTCACACACAGTCACACACACACACACACAGTCACACACACACACAGTCACACACACAGCCACTCACACACACAGTCACACACACACACACACAGTCACACACACACACAGTCACACACACAGTCACACAGTCACACACACAGTCACACACACACACAGTCACACACACACACAGTCACACACACACACACAGTCACACACAGTCACACACACACACAGTCACACACGCACACACACAGTCACACACACACACAGTCACACACACACACAGTCACACACACACACAGTCACACACACACACAGTCACACACAGTCACACACAGTCACACACACACACAGACACACACTCACACAGTCACACACACACACAGTCACACACACACACAGTCACACACACACACAGTCACACACACACACAGTCACACACACACACACACAGTCACACACACACACAGTCACACACACACAGTCACACACAGTCACACACACACAGTCACACACACACAGTCACACAGTCACACACACACACAAACACAGTCACACACACATAGTCACACACACACACAGTCAGTCACACACACAGCCAGTCACACACACACAATCACACACACACACAATCACACACACAGTCACACACAGTCACACACACACAGTCACACAGTCACACACAGTCTCACACACAGTCTCACACACAGTCACACAGTCACACACACAGTCACACACACACAGTCACACACACACACAGTCACACACACACAGTCACACACACACAGTCACACACACACAGTCACACACACACAGTCACACACACACACAGTCACACACAGTCACACACAGTCACACACACACAGTCACACACACAGTCACACACACAGTCACACACACACACAGTCACACACAGTCACACACACACACTCAGTCACTCACACACTCACTAACACACTCCTTCACTCACACAGTCACTCTCACACTCACTCACCCACCCAATGACTCACCCACCCACCCACTCCCCCACTCACCCACCCACCCACTCACTCACTCACCCACTCACCCACCCACTCACTCACCCACTCACCCACCCACTCACCCACCCACTCACTCACCCACCCACTCACTCACCCACCCACTCACACAGTCACTCGAGGTGAGTGAGGTGAGTGAGGTGAGCGTGAGGTGAGCTGAGGGATGAGCGTGAGTGGTGAGCGTGAGTGGTGAGAGTGAGGGGTGAGTGTGAGGGGTGAGCGTGAGGGGTGAGCGTGAGTGGTGAGAGTGAGGGGTGAGCATGAGGGGTGAGCGGTGAGCGTGAGGGGTGAGCGTGAGGGGTGAGCGTGAGGGATGAGCGTGAGGGGTGAGCGTGAGGGGTGAGCGTGAGGGGTGAGCGTGAGGGGTGAGCGTGAGGGGTGAGTGTGAGCGTGAGGGGTGAGCGTGAGGGGTGAGCGTGAGGGGTGAGCGTGAGGGGTGAGCGAGTGAGTGGTGAGCGTGAGTGGTGAGCGTGAGGGGTGAGCGTGAGGGGTGAGCGTGAGGGGTGAGCGTGAGGGGTGAGCGTGAGGGGTGAGCGTGAGGGGTGAGCGTGAGTGGTGAGCGTGAGTGGTGAGCGTGAGGGGTGAGCGGTGAGTGTGAGGGGTGAGCGTGAGGGGTGAGCGTGAGGGGTGAGCGGTGAGTGTGAGGGGTGAGCGTGAGGGGTGAGGGGTGAGCGTGAGGGGTGAGCGTGAGGGGTGAGCGTGAGTGGTGAGCGTGAGGGGTGAGCGTGAGGGGTGAGTGTGAGGGGTGAGCGTGAGTGGTGAGTGTGAGGGGTGAGCGAGTGAGCGTGAGGGGTGAGCGTGAGGGGTGAGCGTGAGGGGTGAGCGTGAGGGGTGAGTGGTGAGCGTGAGCGAGTGAGCTTGAGTGGTGAGCGTGAGGGGTGAGCGTGAGGGGTGAGCGTGAGTGGTGAGCGTGAGGGGTGAGCTTGAGTGGTGAGCGTGAGGGGTGAGCGTGAGGGGTGAGCGTGAGGGGTGAGCGTGAGGGGTGAGCGTGAGGGGTGAGCGTGAGGGGTGAGCGTGAGGGGTGAGCGTGAGGGGTGAGCGTGAGGGGTGAGCGTGAGGGGTGAGCGTGAGGGGTGAGCGGTGAGCGTGAGGGGTGAGCGTGAGGGGTGAGCGTGAGGGGTGAGCGTGAGCGAGTGAGCTTGAGGGGTGAGCGTGTGGGGTGAGCGTGAGTGGTGAGCGTGAGGGGTGAGCGTGAGTGGTGAGGGGTGAGCGTGAGGGGTGAGCGTGAGTGGTGAGCGTGAGGGGTGAGCGTGAGGGGTGAGCGGGAGGGGTGAGCGTGAGTGGTGAGCGTGAGGGGTGAGCGTGAGGGGTGAGCGTGAGGGGTGAGCGGGAGGGGTGAGCGTGAGGGGTGAGCGAGTGAGCGTGAGGGGTGAGCGTGAGTGGTGAGCGTGAGGGGTGAGCGTGAGGGGTGAGCGTGAGGGGTGAGCGTGAGGGGTGAGTGGTGAGCGTGAGGGGTGAGCGTGAGGGGTGAGCGTGAGGGGTGAGTGGTGAGCGTGAGGGGTGAGCGTGAGGGGTGAGCGTGAGGGGTGAGCGTGAGGGGTGAGCGTGAGGGGTGAGCGTGAGGGGTGAGCGTGAGGGGTGAGCGTGAGGGGTGAGCGTGAGGGGTGAGCGTGAGTGGTGAGCGTGAGTGGTGAGCGTGAAGGGTGAGCGTGAGGGGTGAGCGAGTGAGCGTGAGGGGTGAGCGTGAGGGGTGAGCATGAGGGGTGAGCGTGAGTGTGAGGGGTGAGCGTGAGTGGTGAGCGTGAGGGGTGAGCGTGAGTGGTGAGCGTGAGTGGTGAGCGTGAAGGGTGAGCGTGAGGGGTGAGCGAGTGAGCGTGAGGGGTGAGCGTGAGGGGTGAGCATGAGGGGTGAGCGTGAGGGGTGAGTGTGAGGGGTGAGCGTGAGTGGTGAGCGTGAGGGGTGAGCGTGAGTGGTGAGCGTGAGGGGTGAGCGTGAGGGGTGAGGGGTGAGCGTGAGTGGTGAGCGTGAGTGGTGAGCGTGAGGGGTGAGCGTGAGGGGTGAGGGGTGAGCGTGAGGGGTGAGCATGAGGGGTGAGCGTGAGTGGTGAGCGTGAGGGGTGAGCGTGAAGGGTGAGCGTGAGTGGTGAGCGTGAGTGGTGAGGGGTGAGCGTGAGGGGTGAGCGTGAGGGGTGAGTGTGAGGGGTGAGTGTGAGGGGCGAGCGTGAGGGGTGAGCGTGAGTGGTGAGCGTGAGGGGTGAGCGTGAGGGGTGAGTGGTGAGCGTGAGGGGTGAGCGTGAGGGGTGAGTGGTGAGCGTGAGGGGTGAGCGTGAGGGGTGAGCGTGAGTGGTGAGCGTGAGGGGTGAGCGTGAGGGGTGAGCGTGAGGGGTGAGCGTGAGGGGTGAGTGTGAGGGGTGAGCGTGAGTGGTGAGCGTGAGTGGTGAGCGTGAGGGGTGAGCGTGAGGGGTGAGTGTGAGGGGTGAGCGTGAGGGGTGAGCGTGAGGGGTGAGCGTGAGTGGTGAGCGTGAGTGGTGAGCGTGAGTGGTGAGCGTGAGGGGTGAGCGTGAGGGGTGAGCGTGAGGGGTGAGCGTGAGGGGTGAGTGTGAGGGGTGAGCGTGAGTGGTGAGCGTGAGTGGTGAGCGTACTTGAGAAGGCTGCCCCATGTCCAGGCTCATTGACTTGCGGGCCCTGGGGCTGATCTGCCCCATGGCTGGGTAGCTGGCCATGAGGTGACGCATTGACGCCTTGGGAGACATCCACGTCTGACTGTCTCCACCACCACCACCACGCACAGCCCTGCCACACACAGACACACACACAGACACACACACACAGACACACACACAGACACACACACAGACACACACACACAGACACACACACACAGACACACACAGACACACACACAGACACACACACAGACACACACACACAGACACACACAGACACACACACAGACACACACACAGACACACACACACACAGACACACACAGACACACACACACAGACACACACAGACACACACACACACAGACACACACACAGACACACACACACATACAGACACGCACACACAGACACACACAGACACAGACACACACACAGACACACACACATACAGACACGCACACACAGACACACACAAAGACAAAGTTCCCCCGCATAGCCTCTTAATAGTCTGGTGGTAACGAGTGGGTGGGTGAATGGTTGGGTGGGTGGGTAGGTGAGTGGTTGATTGGGTGGTTGAGTGGTTGGCTGGGTGGTTGGGTGGGTAGGTGGGTGAGTGGTTGGGTGGGTGGGTAGGTGAGTGGTTGATTGGGTGGGTGAGTGGTTGGCTGGGTGGTTGGGTGGGTAGGTGGGTGGGTGGTTGGGTGGGTAGGTGGGTGGTTGGGTGGGTGGTTGGGTGGGTAGGTGGGTGAGTAGTTGGGTGGGTGGGTGGTTTGGTGGATGAGTGGGTGGGTAGGTGGGTGAATGGTTGGGTGGGTGGGTGAGTGCTTGGGTGGGTAGGTGAGTGAGTGGTTGGGTGGGTGGGTGAGTAGTTAATTGGGTGGGTGAGTGGTTGGGTGGGTGGGTGAGTGAGTGGTTGGGTGGGTGGGTGAGTAGTTGATTGGGTGGGTGAGTGGTTGGGTGGGTGGGTGAGTGGTTGGGTGAGTAGGTGGGTGAGTGGTTGGGTGGGTAGGTGGGTGGGTGGTTGGGTGGGTGGGTTGTTGGGTGGGTGGTTGGGTGAGTAGGTGGGTGAGTGGTTGGGTGGGTGGGTGATTGGGTGGGTGGTTGGGTGAGTAGGTAGGTGAGTGGTTGGGTGGGTAGGTGAGTGAGTGGTTGAGTGGGTGGTTAGGTGAGTGGTTGGGTGGGTGGGTGGTTGGGTGGGTAGGTGGGTGAGTAGTTGAGTGGGTGGTTGGATGGGTGGGTGGGTGGTTGAGCTCGTGGGTAGGTGGATGATTGGTAGAGTGGTGAGTGGTTGGGTGATTGGGTCTGTCCCGTGACCTCCTCCTCCTGCACCTAGCCTGGAACGGTCACCGTGGTGATGTCCGCCCCCCTTAGTGATGCATGGTTGCTATGGGAACCGGGTGCAGGGTTGCTATGGAGACCTGATGCAGGGTTGCTATGGGGACCTGGTACAGGGTTGCTATGGGGACGTGATGCAGGGTTGCTATGGAGACATAATGCAGGGTTGCTATGGGAACCAGGTGCAGGGTTGCTATGGGAACTGGGTGCAGGGTTGCTATGGGGACCAGGTGGGTGGTTGCTATGGGAAACGGGCGCGTGGTTGTTATGGGAAATGAGTGGGTAGTTCCGAAGGGGATAGCGTTCAGGGTTCCTATGGAAATCAGTTGCAGGGTTGCTATGGAAATCAGTTGCAGGGTTGCTATGGAAATCATTTTCAGGGTTGCTATGGAAATCAGTTGCAGGGTTGCTATGGAAATCAGTTGCAGGGTTGCTATGGAAATCAGTTGCAGGGTTGCTATGGAAATCAGTTGCAGGGTTGCTATAGAAATCAGTTGCAGGGTTGCTATGGAAATCAGTTGCAGGGTTGCTATGGGAACCAATTACCGGGTTGCTATGGAGACCTGGAGCGGGGTGGCTATCGGGCCCGGGTGGGTGGTTGCTATGGGGCCCAGGTTCAGGGTTGCTAAGGAGACCGATTACAGCGTTGCTATGGGGACCAGCTACCGGGGTTGCTATGGTGACCAGGTACAGGGTTGCTATGGGGGAACGGGTGCACAGGTTGCTATGCTACGGGGACCGTGTGCACGGGGTTGCTATGGAGACAAAATACCGGGGTTGCTATGGTGACCAGGTACAGGGTTGCCATGGGGGACCGCGTGCATGGGGTTGCTATGGAGACAAAATACCGGGGTTGCTACGGGGAACCGGGTTGCTCCGGTCACCGCGGCAACGGTTGCCGGGCGCGGGGGGCGGGGCCGCCCACATCCCCCCTCCCCACTCACCCGGAGACGGGGTCCATGATGGGGCTGTAGGTATCCATGGCGACCGTATCCAAGGAGTTCTCCATGAGGACGAGCGACTTGCGGTGTTTGAGACCACAGCGACTCCTCACCTCCTCGGAGACGGTGAGGAGCGCTACACTCACCACCATCACCACCACCACCATCATCATCGTCATCAGCACCACCACCATCATCATCATCATCACCATCATCATCACCACCATCATCATCATCACCATCATCATCATTATCAGCACCACCATCACCACCACCATCATCACCACCATCACCACCATCATCATCATTATCATCAACATCACCAGCATCATCATCACCACCATCACCACCATCACCACCATCACCATCACCACCATCATCACCATCACCACCATCATCACCATCATCACCACCACCACCATCATCATCATTATCATCAACATCACCATCATCACCATCACCACCATCATCACCACCACCATCATCACCACCACCACCATCATCACCACCACCATCATCACCACCACCATCATCACCACCACCACCATCATCACCATCATCATCATCATCATCACCATCATCACCATCACCACCATCATCACCATCATCACCACCAGCACCATCATCACCATCACCACCATCATCACCATCATCACCACCAGCACCATCATCACCATCACCACCATCATCATCACCACCATCACCACCATCACCACCACCATCATCATCATCATCACCATCATCATCACCATCATCACCACCATCACCACCACCACCACCATCATCATCATCACCACCATCATCATCACCATCATCACCACCATCACCACCACCACCATCACCACCATCATCATTACCACCACCACCATCATCAAAATCATCACCACCATCATCATCATCACCATCACCACCATCATCATCATCATCACCACCAGCACCACCATCAACATCACCACCATCATCATCATCATCACCACCAGCACCACCATCAACATCACCACCATCATCATCACCATCACCACCATCACCACCATCATCATCATCACCACCATCACCACCATCATCATCACCACCATCACCACCATCATCATCACCATCATCATCATCACCATCATCACCACCATCACCACCATCACCATCATCACCACCATCACCATCACCACCATCACCACCATCACCACCATCACCACCATCATCATCATCATCACCACCATCACCACCATCACTATCATCATCACCACCATCATCACCATCACCACCATCACAATCATCATTACCACCATCATCATCATCACCACCATCACCACCATCACTATCATCATCACCACCATCATCACCATCACCACCATCACAATCATCATTACCACCATCACCACGATCACCATCACCACCATCACCATCATCACCACCATCACCATCATCACCACCATCATCATCACCATCATCATCATCATCACCACCATCATCATCACCACCATCACCATCACCACCATCACCACCATCATCATCATCACCATCACCACCATCACCACCATCAACATCATCATCATCACCACCATCACCACCATCATCACCATCACCACCATCATCACCATCAACACCATCACCACCACCATCATCAACACCATCACCACCATCATCACCACCATCACCACCACCATCACCACCATCAGGACCATCATCAACACCATCACCACCATCATCATCACCACCATCATCATCACCATCATCACCATCACCACCATCATCATCACCACCATCACCATCATCATCACCACCATCATCATTACCATCATCACCATCACCACCATCATCATCACCATCATCATCACCACCATCATCATCATCACCACCAGCACCATCAGCACCATCAGCACCATCACCATCACCACCATCATCATCATCACCATCACCACCATCACCACCATCATCATCATCACCACCATCACCACCATCACTATCATCATCACCACCATCATTATCACCACCATCATCACCATCACCACCATCATCACCATCGCCACCATCATCACCATCATCAACATCAAGACCATCACCACCACCGTTATCAACACCATCACCACCATCATCACCACCATCACCACAATCATCATCACCACCAGCACCATCATCACCAGCACCATCATCACCATCATCACCATCACCACCAACATCACCATTATCATCACCAGTGTGTGAGTGAGTGGCTGGCGAGATGGGTGAGCGAGGTGGTGAGTGGGTGAGCAAGGCGGTGAGCGAGTGAGTGTGTGTGAGTGAGTGTGTGAGTGAGTGGGTGAGTGTGTGAGTGACTGAGTGACTGAGTGGGTGAGCGAGTGAGTGGGTGAGTGAGTGGGTGAGCGAGTGGGTGAGTGACTGAGTGAGTGACTGAGTGAGTGACTGAGTGTGTGAGTGAGTGGGTGAGCGAGTGAGTGGGTAAGTGAGTGAGTGGGTGAGCGAGTGAGTGGGTGAGCGAGTGGGTGAGTGACTGAGTGAGTGAGTGGGTGAGCGAGTGGGTGAGTGTGTGAGTCAGTGTGTGAGTGAGTCAGTGTGTGAGTGAGTGGGTGAGTGGGTGACCGAGCCGGTGAGCGAGTGGGTGAGTGGGTGAGCGAGTGGGTGAGTGACTGAGTGACTGAGCGAGTGGGTGAGCGAGTGACTGAGTGAGTGGGTGAGCGGGTGACTGAGTGACTGAGCGAGTGGGTGAGCGAGTGGGTGAGCGAGTGAGTGGGTGAGCGAGTGAGCGAGTGGGTGAGCGGATGACTGAGTGACTGAGTGAGTGGGTGAGTGAGTGACTGAGTGAGTGAGTGGGTGAGTGAGTGGGTGAGCGAGTGAGTGAGTGAGTGACTGAATGACTGAGCGAGTGGGTGAGCGAGTGGTTGGGTGAGCGAGTGGGTGAGCGAGTGGTTGGGTGAGCGAGTGGTTGGGTGAGCGAGTGGTTGGGTGAGCGAGTGGGTGAGCGAGTGGTTGGGTGAGCGAGTGGTTGGGTGAGCGAGTGGTTGGGTGAGCGAGTGGGTGAGCGAGTGGTTGGGTGAGCGAATGGGTGAGCGAGTGGTTGGGTGAGCGAGTGGGTGAGCGAGTGGGTGAGTGAGTGGGTGAGCGAGTGGTTGGGTGAGCGAGTGGTTGGGTGAGCGAGTGGGTGAGCGAGTGGTTGGGTGAACGAGTGGGTGAGGGAGTGGTTGGGTGAGCGAGTGGGTGAGCGAGTGACTGAGTGAGTGGGTGAGTGAGTGGGTGAGCGAGTGGGTGAGCGAGTGAGTGAGCGAGTGACTGAGTGACTGAATGACTGAGCGAGTGGGTGAGCGAGTGAGTGAGTGACTGAGTGACTGAGTGGGTGAGCGAGTGGTTGGGTGAGCGAGTGGTTAGGTGAGCGAGTGGTTGGGTGAGCGAGTGGTTGGGTGAGCGAGTGGTTGGGTGAGCGAGCGAGTGGGTGAGTGAGTGGTTGGGTGAGTGAGTGGTTGGGTGAGCGAGTGAGCGGCTGAGCGAGTGGGTGAGCGAGTGGGTGAGCGAGCGAGTGGTTGGGTGAGCGAGTGGGTGAGCGAGTGGGTGAGCGAGTGGTTGGGTGAGCGAGTGAGTGAGCGGATGACTGAGTGACTGAGCGAGTGGGTGAGCGAGCGAGTGGTTGGGTGAGTGACTGAGTGACTGAGTGGTTGGGTGAGCGAGCGAGTGGGTGAGCGAATGGGTGAGCGGATGACTGAGTGACTGAGTGAGTGGGTGAGTGAGTGACTGAGTGAGTGGGTGAGTGAGTGACTGAGTGACTGAGTGGTTGGGTGAGCGAGTGGGTGAGCGAGCGAGTGGGTGAGCAAGCGAGTGGGTGAGCGAGCGAGTGGGTGAGCGAGCGAGTGGTTGGGTGAGCGAGTGGGTGAGCGAGTGGTGGGGTGAGTGAGTGACTGAGTGAGTGAGTGAGTGACTGAGTGACTGAGTGGGTGAGCGAGTGGTTGGGTGAGCGAGTGGTTGGGTGAGCGAGTGGTTGGGTGAGCGAGTGAGCGAGTGGGTGAGCGAGTGGGTGAGCGAGTGGGTGAGCGAGCGGGTGAGCGAGTGAGTGGGTGAGCGAGCGAGTGGGTGAGCGAGCGAGTGGTTGGGTGAGCGAGTGGTGGGGTGAGTGAGTGGGTGAGCGAGTGGGTGAGCGAGTGGGTGAGCGAGTGGGTGAGCGAGCGGGTGAGCGAGTGACTGAGTGACTGAGTGGGTGAGCGAGTGGGTGAGCGAGTGGGTGAGTGGGTGAGTGAGCGAGTGCGTGAGCGAGTGGGTGAGCGAGCGGGTGAGCGAGCGGGTGAGCGAGTGGGTGAGCGAACGTGTGAGCGAGTGGGTGAGCGAGTGGGTGAGCGAGTGAGTGACTGAGTGACTGAGTGGTTGGGTGAGCGAGCGGGTGAGCGAGTGGGTGAGCGAGCGAGCGGGTGAGCGAGTGGGTGAGCGAGTGGGTGAGCGAGTGGGTGAGCGAGTGGGTGAGTGAGTGGGTGAGTGAGTGGGTGAGCGAGTGGGTGAGCGAGTGGGTGAGCGAGTGGTGGGGTGAGTGAGAGACTGAGTGACTGAATGACTGAGCGAGTGGGTGAGTGAGTGAGTGGGTGAGTGAGTGGGTGAGTGAGTGGGTGAGCGAGTGGGTGAGCGAGCGGGTGAGCGAGTGAGTGGGTGAGTGAGTGGGTGAGCGAGTGGGTGAGCGAGCGGGTGAGCGAGTGAGCGAGTGGGTGAGCGAGCGGGTGAGCGAGTGGGTGAGCGAGTGGTTGGGTGAGCGAGTGGTTGGGTGAGCGAGTGGTTGGGTGAGCGAGTGGGTGAGCGAGTGGTTGGGTGAGCGAGTGGGTGAGCGAGTGGTTGGGTGAGCGAATGGGTGAGCGAGTGGTTGGGTGAGCGAGTGGGTGAGCGAGTGGGTGAGTGAGTGGGTGAGCGAGTGGTTGGGTGAGCGAGTGGTTGGGTGAGCGAGTGGGTGAGCGAGTGGTTGGGTGAACGAGTGGGTGAGGGAGTGGTTGGGTGAGCGAGTGGGTGAGCGAGTGACTGAGTGAGTGGGTGAGTGAGTGGGTGAGCGAGTGGGTGAGCGAGTGAGTGAGCGAGTGACTGAGTGACTGAATGACTGAGCGAGTGGGTGAGCGAGTGGTTGGGTGAGCGAGTGGTTAGGTGAGCGAGTGGTTGGGTGAGCGAGTGGTTGGGTGAGCG